CAAACCAGGGGGGTCTGATTTGATCCCAGCCATCCACAGAGCTCCCAAAAGCTGGAACTGGGAATGCAGAGAAACCCTTCCGAAGGCAGGAGTCCCTAAGCCAGCGCAGTGCCCCTCACCTGGCTCCTGCTACTGGTTTTGCTGGGCTGGTTCTGTTCATGTGCCACCAGGGCACTGGGAGCTCGCTCCCAGTGACTCTCCCTCTCACACAGCCACGCCTGATTAAGCATTGCTTTTCTGCTCTAGTTGACCTGTCCCTCCTCTCCCTCAAAAGAAGAGTTGCCAGGCTAAAAGGGAAGAGCACAACAGGGGAATCCTTCCTGGAAAGGGGAAGACTCAGGTTTTTCTGGGTGGAGAGAGCAAGCAGGGCTTCTGGAGGCAGAAATCCAGCTCCTCTGGGGGTTCAGTTCCCCAGACACCCCCCCACAGTCCCTTTTCACCCTCCCAGGACAAGGAGTGACTGCCTTTCACTTTACTGGCTCTGGACTGGGGGTCACAGACACTCACCTTGTCTGAAAGGTTGTCCCAGCCATAGTTAAAAGGACCAGGAACATTGTCTGGAGATATGGCCACAGCTACCAGGTTATAGCAGGCCCTTGAGGAATACAGAAGAGCCACTACAGATCCCACAAGAACAGCCTGGCAGACAGATGTTCCCTAGAACAGGAAGAAATAAAATGGCTTTAATATAGAGCTGTGATTTTCTTTCCCCCTTCACTTAAATTCACCAGAAGCTGTGCAGGCAAGAACGACCCAGAACATTTGTATGTTGTTGCTGAAATATTCAGAGCTGGTTAAGAGCTTTCTCATGTGATGAGTTCATTCCAGGAACAGATCCACACAGCCAGTGTCACCTGGGAGCAGGGAAGATCTGAGGCACAGAAGTGTCACTGTCAGGATCTTATCAGTCACCTTCCAGCTGGTGGTCCAGGGAGATGCTACTCCACTCACTGCCTTCCCATGGGAGTCTCTGCAAGGCCAACAAACAACCACTGGGAAAATCAACTGGCTGCTTCTATGCCCTGATCAGACTCTGCAGCAGAAATGTTCACCCAGCCCATTCACTGCAGCAGCTCAGCACCCCAACATCACACACAGTGTTTGTTTAGGAAAGAAACCCAAATATTTGGGGACCCAGCGCCTGAACTCCTGGAACTGAAGGGAGCCCACAAGGAAACATGGAGAGAGACTACTTACAAGGGCCTGGAGTGACAGGATGAGGGGGAATGGCTTCCCACTGACAGAGAATAGGATTAGATTAGCTATTAGGAAGGAATTCTTCCCTGTGAGGGTGGAGAGGCCCTGGCACAGGTTGCCCAGAGAAGCTGTGGCTGCCCCATCCCTGGAAATGTTCAAGGCCAGGCTGGATGGGGATTGGAGCAACCAGGGCTAGTGGAAGGTGTCCCTGCCCATGGCAGGGGGGTAGAACTGGATGATCTTTAAGGTCCCTTCCAACCCAAACCATTCTGGGATTTTATGACAAGCCAGGCTTTGCTAAATACACCCATGAAGCCCTTTAATAGCTACTGGGAGGCACCAAGTCAGTGGGTGGGCACATAAACACGTGCCAGCAGCTCACTTGCCTTTGTGTTTAAGCAGAGAATCTGCAGGGGAGGCTCATCTCACTGACCTGCTCCACATCCCAGCTGGGCTGTGCCAGCTCTATTTTCCCGGCTTTGGAGCTCAAGGCAGCAGCTTGAAAGAGTCAGCACAGAAGTGCTGCTAACAAAGTGACAGCCCCAAAGCCCAGGAACACATCCTGCTGTCACCCTTAGCTGAGCCCCTGGTGTCCAGGCCAGCACAACAAAAGGTTGGTGAAGCAAATCTCCAGCTCACAAGGACCACAGCACAGGATCTGGCTGCAGTCCAGCCTCCTTCCCATGGCTCCAGCCTTTCACCTTCAGTGGTGGAGGCAGCAGCCTCCAGCCTTGCTGGATGGCTTTGAGTCAGCAGGTTCCCAGCTGGAGTTCAGGAGGCAGGACAACCTTTCCAGGCATTTGTGTAGCACTTGTGCTCATCCCCACCCTTTTCCTGCAGCTCCTTCACACAGGAAATCAAGGGATGCCCCCAAGGCAGGGAAGGGAAGGGGAGACCTGTAGCAGCCAGGCTGAGTATCCAACTGGAGAACAGGCTTCCCTGGAGCATGTTGTACAAGAGCACGGCCCCACAGGCAGCCTCAGGCATGGAAGGAGAGGAAGTTCCTGTGCTGGGTGAACTTGGCAAGTTAATCAGTGCCCAGAGCCAGTCAGAGCTGGATACCAGGCCCAGGCAGGCAGGGATGTGAGCAGGTTCTCAGCTTAGATGGCTCCTGTCTCACTGCAGCTGCGACCCATGGTTCACACGTCCTGGATTCTGGGAAACCAGCAATACTCTTGGTTGCTTAAGGAGCCAGACATCTCCTACTGAAAGCCTCAGCTTCAACCTTGACCAGGCTATGCTCAGATTTTTGCTATAGATCCCTGGAATCCCTGCCTTTGACAGGGGTGATATGGCTTCCCAGAGGAAGAGGAGGCAGCTCAAGTGCACATTTAATTACAGCCTGTTGCCACACTGCTGGCAGCTCATCCACTCTCCTACCTGCTGGAAAAGGGCTGTGTGTGTTCAGACCTGTCCTTCTGCCTTGGGGCAGGACCTACAGCAACTTCTCCTCCCCTTCCAACATGCTCATCTCATCCAGGACTGTTGGGAGGGGATCCCCTTTGCAAAGAATTGTTGTGCACCTGCTACAGGCAACAACATGCTGCAAGTTTTACTGTCCTTAGTGATAATACACTGCCAAAACTGCATCTGCTGCTCTTGGAGAGCCCTCTCATCCAGGTAGACCCTACATTTCCTAAGCTTGAAGAGCGCAGTCAGCTCATAAATCTCCCAAAGCTGCAGACAAGGTGTTCCCCTAAAACACACAGGGCAGATCATTCCCAAGGCAGGAACATGCACTTTCTGGAGGGAGGAGTCCAAGAGCTGCCACCTCCTCTCTGGAAGGAATATTTGAGCAAGAGCAGCTCAGGTGCCCCCATGCCCTGAGCGAGCACACCCAGGTCCAGCTGAGAATCCAGCTGTGCAGTCCCTGTGAAGCTCCCAGGGCATTCCCCTACCTTGGACTCGAGGTAGACGTTGGCTGAAGACATCTTTCCCAGCTTGCACATGCAGCCAGCCAGCGAGATGGCACAGAGGATGAAGAGGCTGTCGTTGACCAGGGCGCGGGCCAGGACCGTCCACCTCAGCTGGCTCTCGGGGACCTCCCCGTGGATCAACATTGCACAAGTCAAATTCACAACCAGGAAGAGGAGGCTGGTGAAGATGGAGCCCAGGTACAGCAGGACCCTGGAGGGGTGGTGAGGGGGAGAAACGGAGTTTGAGTGAGACGAGGCTTATTCTGCACCACCCTCCTGTCTCACCAGACCCTCCCAGCACGCCCAGTGCTCTGCCTGCTGGGAAGATCAGGCATTCCAGCAACTTTCAGTGGTTGCACTGACAGCCCCAAGCCTGCAGAGCATTTGTTGGAGCTGCTCTCAGAACACATGAGCAGCGTAAGCAGTCATGAGTTACAAAGACTCATCTTCTGACAGTCAGGTTCTTATCTTGCAGATTTTAAGTGTTGCTCCAGCTCTGCATTAACTCCAGTCAATAAGCCATGAGTCATCACAACCACTGCAACTTCTTCACTGAAAGCCACTGGAGCTTGCATTTCCCAGTGTGGGTTTCCCTGGAAATGGTTAGGAAGCACCTGGGCTGCACAAATGTAGGTCTCACCTACTGCTCGTGCCTTATTCTGCAGATCTTTTCTGGGGTGGGATAGCTTGGAATGACCTTGAGAGTTCATCTAGTTTGCTACTGGGGTGCTTGAGCTTCCTGGGCACCCTTGAACCTCCCAGTCCTGCTCCAAGGCACAACACTGACCCTTTGCCAGAGCACAGGGATGGAATCAGCTCTGTTCAGCCTTTGGGGTCTGAACCTCTCCCTCCCAGCACTGCAGTGAGTTCCCCCTTAAGCCACGAAGGTCAGAACAGCATCACTTACTTGTACTTGTTGAATTCAGCTGCACATTTCACTTTGAATATGACCTGGAGGAAAGATTTCCACAGTGTTACTTCACATGATCTACAGTTTCTTTTAAGTTTAGTCGAGATAAACAGGGGAGCCAGAAACCAGTTGGACACCTCCAAGGACTCCAGATTATTTATCAGCACCAAGAACTGGTCTTTTTTTCCCCTTGTAAAAGCCCAGCCCAAACACAGGTGCTCATAATACCCCATATGTGATAAGGACTTTAACACTCCACCTTAAAGATCTCAAGAAAAGCAGGGAGTTTAGCACTTAATAGTCATTAAAATCCTTCAAAAATACATCTCCTTTGCCCAGTGTTCTGGGCTGCTTATTTTAGGACCTCAACCACGCTGGATTTCTATGTTAGAAAAGGCTGCCTGAGCTGCTGTGCTTCAGCAAGACAAATAGCTGATCTAAAATAGCCCTCTGGTCTATTTGATCATGGACCTGCAGGCTGGAAAAAGCACTTGGAACTCACAGCTCCTCCATCCTTATGATGTTTGTAGGACAAATTCACCTGAAAAGTAGCTCCAGAGGTGGAAGTTTGGAGCATACAGGGGCAGGATCTGAGCCTAAGGAATTAGGGATGGCTTAGGAAGGTGTTGACACTCCCAAGACAGAGCTCAGATGTGAGTTCCTGCTGCAAGGGGACAGGGAAGCAGCACTCACACTGGTCAGGAAAACAGCAGGAAAACAACAGGGTTGTGTCCTGTGAGAAATGCAGCTCCAGGTACAGATCCCACCAGGAAGGATCCCAGAGCTGGGGTCAGTCACAGGTAAAGCCCATGTCCTGACTAGAGACTTGGAAGGAACTCGGGAAGAGAAACATCCAGACAGATCCAGCACACCTGGATTTGTGGGATCACTGCACAGGTGTGGAGGTTCAGTTTCCCTTCTCCTCCCTTGCCCTGTCAGCTCCCAGACTGTGGCTGCAGTGAAGGATCACTCATCTCCTACAAGGCACCCTTGGTCAGCTTTTTTTCCTGCTGGGATTCCTTGGCTCCTGCCTTCCAGCCAGCACTGAGGCAGAAGTGGCACACAAGCTTCAGGAATCAGGCTCCTGCCAAGAGGATTTCCAGAGACATTTCAGGATTCGAGCTTGTCTGATCCCCTGTAGTAGTTTCAAGCATTTCAAAGGACATCAGACAGTGCCAGTGACCCTCTTCCAAGAGCCAGTTCCAGTGCCAGTGCCTGGCTCCTCTCCCCCAGTCTGAGGGAGGATGAGCTCAAGCAGTACTTAGAGGGGAACAGGACACAGCTCTTCAGTAGAGATGGGGATCCATCCCTATGGATGTTCTCTATCCTGTTGTCCTGGCCTAAACCAGCCCAGAGAAGAACACAAGTGTGGCACAATCCACCCTGAGCCCTAAAACTCATCTGAGTTACACTAAACCTGTGCCTTGGAAGCACCATGTGGTGACTTTCAAACAGAAATATCCTTGAATCCTCCTTAGTTTGCCTGCAGGTTATGTTCAAGCACTTTGGGACTGGCATAGGATCACTAAGGTTGGAAAAGCCCTCCAAAATCATCAAGTGCAACCATTTAATTCAGCGCCACCTTGTTCACCACTAAACCACGTTGCCAAATGCCATATCCATGTTTTTTTGGACTCTTCCAGGGATGGTGACTCCACCACTGCCCTGGACAGCCTGTTCCAATGCCTGACCACCCTTTCAGTGAAGAATTTTTTTCCCAATATCCAATCTAAACCTCCCCTGGTGCAACTTGAGGCTGTTTCCTCTTGTCCTGTCAAAACAGACACCAAGGACATTTCCAGCTGGGAAAATCTCTTGGTCCAGCACCCATTTGGGCAGCACAGAAATCCATCTGAGGTATCTGTAAACACAGCCTCTGAACAGCACTGCAGAGTCCCTGGCTTGTATTCCAACTGGGAATACTGCACTCTCAGCTGAGAACAGCCCCTCAGCAGAGCAGGGAAGTGCCACTGGCTAACAGGAAGATGCTGGATGTGCAGGACTCTCCCTAAACTCTCCCCCTACAGCTCCAGGGATTAAGGCACACAAAGCTGAGTCAGGGTTAAGAGTGCAACAGCAACTTGAGCCTCAGGCTTGGCCTGCTGCCATGAAAAGCAGAGGGAGACCACAGCTCCAGCATTAGACTTTTATTAGCCCCCAGCTAATTATTCCTACAACTTCAGGAAGAGGACAGGCATCACTGTGTTTGGTGTTTTCAATTATTAAGACTGATAACTTATCTGAAGGTTGCTTTTCCTTCCCAGGGACTGGGTCAGTAGGTGACACCAGTGTTTCTCTGGGTTCTCAGCCTTGAGACAAGCTTTGAGTCTCTCTGCACAGGACTCTGCTGCTTTCAGAGCCCAAGGACAGCTGAGGTAAAGGGTTCTGCTGTGAAGAATCCAGCATGGAGAGCTCAGGAGCAGTCCTGTTCTCCAGAAAGAGAGGAAACACAGCCCCCTGCCCTCAAACAGGTGCTTTAGGCCAAGCTGGGAGCAGCAATCCTTGCAAACTTGGGATCTGAGCTGAGACCAGCCCAAGAAGTCAGGCCTGAAAATCAGGAGCAGTTTGGCAACACTTAGTTGCCTTTCCAGAGCCACAGATCCTTTGAGCACTTCACATCAGCCAGATTTGGGAAGAAGGGGAGGAGAATTACACACCCCAAAGTGCCCCCATGATGCTGGAGGCCTTTGGTTTTGTGGTGGGTGGATATATTACATAAAAGTGATTCCCTTGCTCCCAGCACAGCCCAGAAAGTGAACTTGCTAAGGATATGTTTGAGACACACACTCATCCTTAGAAGGTGCACTGGAGGTGTCACAGCTGCTAAGAGAAGGTGACAGATGTCAGATCCCACAGATTGCTCCAAGGATCACTTCCAGTACCTGAAAAGCCAGGATCTTAACCCCAAACACTGAACCACTTCAGCTTGGTTTTGGTACAGCCATTCACATCAGATCCAAAAGATCCAGGAGAGCCAGGAACTTATTGTCTGATGGAAACAAAATCTCTCTTGCTCCATAAAGAAATCATGAATTTGGGCTCCACAGATACAAGACATAACCATGTCCTGTCCTAACACAGCCCTCACTCAGCTGCAGGAGCATCCACAGACAGATCCCTTCCCTCACCAGAGCGAGATAATTGGAGCACAGCCCAGACTATTTTGGGATTACACCCCGTAACAAATGTTCAAACCCCCACCCACCCCTCAGAGGAAAAGTTGGAACTGTCCATGAGGAGGATCCCTCAGCATCCCCACTAATACTGAGATCACTCTCTGCCATCATGAACACAGGGCACAACTTGCTTGTTCCCTGATTTCCTAGAATAGCTGGTTGCCAGTGTGGACACCTGTTCAGCTGGGAAACATGGGAATCATCAGCTACGGGATGAGGCAATCTGGAGTTTAAGTGACCCCTTACCAGCTGTCCCTCTGAGGCAGAGGGCACTGCCAGGTGTCTGCTACACAAGGAAGGTGCAAGAAAGGATGGAGGCTTTTCCAGTTTTCCAGCTGAGAAGGAAGGTACAGGACAGCAAAGACAAACATTTCCCTGGAAAGGCTGGATGCTCTTTCCAAGCATGTCTGCTCCAGTGCAATTAGAGCAGGAGGGGATGGAAGAGGCTGATGTCATCTAATCAGATGGAGCACTCAGTAGAAACCCAGACTGTTGGAGGGCTCTGGCCACGCTGGCCGTCAGTCCCACCACTCCAGCATTCCTTACTCATCCCTGCACCAGCTGCTGATTCCCAGGAGAGCCGAGTGCTCAAGAAGGTCTTTGAAAGGGTCACAAGACGGAGGTTGTGGCTACATTTCACAGAATCACTGAGGTCAGAAAAGACCTCTGAGATCATCCAGTCCCCCCTGTGCCTGATGCCCACCTTGTTCCCCAGCCCAGAGCACTGACTGCCACGGCCAGTCCTTCCTTGGACACCTCCAGGGATGGGGACTCCACCACCTCCCTGGGCAGCCCCTGCCAATGTTTAACAACCCTTTCCAAGAAGAAATTCCTCCTGATGTCCAACCTGAACCTCCCCTGACACAACTTGAGGCCATTTCCTCTCCTCCTGTCCCTTGTTCCCTGGGAGCAGAGCCTGACCCCCTCCTCCAGCTCCCCTCTCCTGTCAGGGAGTTGCAGAGCCAGAAGGTCCCCCCTGAGCCTCCTTTTCTCCAGGTTGAGCCCCCCCCACTCCTTCCATGTATTTCCATGTCCCAGGGAAAAGTAGGAACTGGCAGGCTCTTGGGAAGGGTGGCATTATTCAAGCTGATGTCTAGCTGGCAGCAGAGGAGCTATTCCAAAGGCAAGGCAAAGGAGCATCTTGTTTGGATACCTGAGACATTGAGGCAAGACTGGGAGTGGATCTGAGGAATTCTGACTTGATGCACTGTGAATTCCAGATTTCCAGGAAAGGACTCATTCCGGTACAAGTTGAAGCAGAAAGGAAGAAATGCTCCCAAGCTAAAGGCATTGTGATGTTCCAGATGGAAACAGTACCTGAAGGGAGCCTACAGGAGACCTGGAGAGGGACTTTGGACATGGGCATGGAGTGACAGGACAACAGGGAATGGCTTCACACAGAGAGGGCAGGGTTAGATGGGATATTGGGAAGAAATTCTTGGCTGTGAGGGTGGTGAGGCCCTGGCACAAGTTGCCCAAAGAAGCTGTGGCTGCCCCATCTCTGGAAGTGTTCAAGGCCAGGTTGGAGCAACCTGGGACAGTGGAAGGTGTCCCTGCCCATGGCACAGGTTTGGAATGAGATGAGCTTTAAGGTTCCTCCCAGTCCCAACCATTCTGGGATTTTATGAAAAAAAAAATACACATCCCACATTCATTCTGCCAGGACTCTGCATCCCCTCAGGAATCTCAGGAGCCAGGAGGGGATAGGAAGAGGATAACCCCTCCCCACTGAAAGGAGAACACCAGGCAGCATCAGAATTTTGAATTTCAGCCCCAAAACAGCCTGGAGTGCCAAGTAATGCCAGTTCTCCATGGGTATCTGTTCCCTGGAGCTTCTTCCCCATCACCATTTCATCCTCAGCTTCTCCATAGCCTGAGGAGCTCCCTAAATCAAGCAAGATCAGCTCAAATAACAGCACAGGCCATGTTTTCTTCCACTGCTTCCACAGATGCCATTTCTCCAGCATCTCCACAAAGGAGGCACTGTGTAGAGAGACAATGAGCCAGGCCCTCAGCACAGCAGCAGCCTGTGCTTTTATCCGAGGACATCTCGGATCAGGATCCCACCCCCAGAGCAGAAGAAGCCCAGGGTCCTTCTGCTGGTCCTTCTAATTGCTACCAATTAGCCCTTAAAAACTGGGAATGGATGGGCACTTTCTCCTGGAAGTCACACCAGTAAACACACCAGTCATGTCTAGAGATGGGAGCCAGGAAAGCACCAAAGGCTTTCAGTCCATCCAGCTCGACTCTTTCTCCAAACCTCTGGAGCTTCACTACCACCACTGTGAGATCACCCAAAAACACCACACAGTGCTGGACTCCCCTCCTGGTTCCAACAGGGAAGTGTCAGACCCTCCCTGGAGCTGAGCATGCAGACCCACTTTCATAAGTCATTTTATCCTTCCCCACTCCAGATTCTGAGCTCTTATTTCCTCAGACAGGATTTCCCTTGGCTCTAGGTTTTGAAGGAGAAAGAAATGGGATATATGCAGAGTTCACTGAAAAACAGATATCGTGGGAGGAAGGGAAGCCTGGGAATCTATTTGGATTTACTTTAAGGGAACCTTTAAACAAGCCCGGAGAGAGGCAAATCTGCTGTTGAGTCCAGTGACTGAGAGGAAAACAGAAATGCAACCACTTTGTGGAGCAGAGCACAGGATCCCTGCTTTTCAAAGGACACAAACCCCTCCTGGCTGGAGCAATTGGTAGGTCAGGCTGCCTTTAACAGACAAGATGGATTATGCACACTCTGCACCATTTGTTATCCTGCTGCCACTCAACCAACGCCACATCCAACACCGACACCTTTGGCAACAGGCAGCTCACCCCTGGCTCCCAAGTGTTTATTTCAGAGCAAGGAGAGGGGGA